ACGCATGTCTGGAGTAATAAAACTTCCCTTCCTGCCTAGCTCATGGCGTCGTGACCATCGTTCATTGCAAGCTACATCTTGAAGAATTGAAGTGAATAAGGCTATGGGCTCATCTGCATCTTCTTACTCCTTTGCACCAAAAGAGAAGAGGCATAAAGATTCGAAAAGAGTCCAGTCAGCCTTATGCAACTTCCACCACTGGGGTCTTTCGACCGGAGAGGGGCAATTATTATTAATCAAGATAGGAAAGTGGTCACTACCACATAAATCTTCGTGTACTCTCCATGTAAAGTCCTGATACAGGGTCGGAAAGCAAATGGCGAGATCCAGGGAAGGAAAAGAAGCTGTGGCAGTGGGACTTTGTGTAACACTGTATAAAAGGTTCTAGGGAGATAACTATGGAAGGATAACGTTGCCAATATTATTTCAATGTACACGGTGCTAAATACATGTGTCCGCAGTTCAAAATATGTATTTTAGGTTTACAATTTGCAATTTCCATTGCTCCACAATACCAATGTGAAAGTGTTAAAATACAGAATACATTTTTCAATAATACATTACTGTTATTTTGTACAGTGAACATTGAAATAATGTTGACAACGTTATCCTTCCATAGATAACCATCACTAGTGTTCTAACACCTCAGTTTTCTAAATTAGAGAAAACAATAAAATGTATATTTACTTACAGCAAACATGTTCTTCACAAAATGGGACTGCAATTGAACAAAATTAAAATATTAATCCGATTCAAATTTTACGTTACCAAAACAAAATAGAAAGTTATTACAACTACTAGCTATATTGATTACGTTAAAGTCATTAAGAAAGTGAATTAAGAAAATAGAGCATTTTTCTTAACGATTTATTGAAATTTTTACCAATGATTTTCTCTCGATACACCCTATGCATATACTGCCACGTTCAAGTTGGTAATGTTTACATGTAGCACTTAGTACCACCGTAAATTATTAGAGGCTACGTGGTGGCAAATTATTGGCATGATAAATGTTCATTGGCAATATAGACACCAAGATGGGCGCTCTCCTGCCATCATTTCAAATTCTTGAACACGCATAGGCAGATCAATGATGGTAAAGATCGGCCAATCTGATAAGCACGTACATCACTTTCTATCGATTTAGATCATAAGGTATTTCATTGAGTCAAGTGGCATGGTTGTAATTTACAGGGAGTAGGGTTACTTGTCCAAACTCGTGGCTTTTCTCCGGATCCTCCGGTTTTCACCTACTGTTAAGGAACCCCACCCGCAAGTGAATTACCGAAATAATACTGATCCATGTGCTTGTCCCGAAATATATATTCGACGTGAAGCTTAATTTCCATCTCTCTCATGATTTAGAACCAAAGTGACGTAAGACATTTAAATAGTTGTCTGCTTTCATGGTACTTCGGGGGAGGGGATGATAACTGAAGCTCCACTTTGTGCTACTACTACTCATTAAATCGATTAAATTAGTAATTGCAGTCACATCCAACACAGATGACCTTTGATCAAAGGTACTATGGCAGGTTCCCCGGGTGCATTGAAATCCACCACAGTCAGCGGGAGTATTACACGGAGCTGTAAATATTAATCATTATTTTACATCAACAAAGGAACATGTTGATACCAAAGATATTAGACAGTCATATCATATAGGGATACAATAATGTCAAGGTTTCTTTTTAGTTCGCATATGCGGGGGGGGGGGGGTACTTCAATTCACCTATGCTCAATCAAAGAAGATGTAATTAGACATTTATGTCCGTATGGTTATGATGTGGTGGGTGTGATTTCGTGATTTGGAAATAAGCAAATTTTTATGTCAATGCTGGACTGTAGGGGAATTTGAAATAATGAAACAAACAACTACGTAATTGTGTAGTTTGGGTCAAGATGTAAGTAGTTCAGATTGCAACTGATTATAGTTTTTATTATTATTATTATTATTATGTATATAAGAACACACTGTCGTCATGAGCCCAGTCGATGCTGAACCGTCGGACGTTAAATCCCATCTTATTTCATTGACAAGAACATGTCGAAGAAAACCAAGGAACAGTTGTCGGCAACAAGGTAGGAAACATCTGATATTTCGTCGTCATGGCATGCATTGAGATTCTCTATCGCTGTCATTGCTACATTATGGTGATTTTAATTCAAGCGCTCATTCATACAATTATTGGTTTAAACAAGACTAAAGACAGTGATCTGTTCAGATTTCTAAATGGCGTTATGGTAAGGGCCAGCAGTGGGGTTAGCATGGCGTTAACAAAAATGAAATGAGATTTAACGTCCCACTCTTCTGCTCCGACTGGGCTAATGAAGACGGACATACGCCATACAGTGTGTTATGAGAGAACAGCGGTACAATGGCCTACTATTATATTGAATTCCAACTCAGTGAGATAAGAATGTTCTGAATTCTATACATTTCGCAGTGAAAATATATAACTTAACACCATGCTGTAATGATGCTAATGGAACTGTTTGAGCTCCTGTTTTCATTTGGTACATATCTTGTTGTCACCTATCTGTAACATAATAAAAACTGGTATATTTACCGTTGCATGTGTCTGTTGCTGTGTCACAGGTATCATACATACATAAACCATTAGTACACAGGGCTGAAATAGAAAACATATAACGATATGAAATACTAGACGATCACAAGGCTAACAAGTCAACAGTGAGGCTGATGTCCCCCGCCGAAATCCCAAATAAATAGATGACACATATTAATTAATCGCACATCTATTTTTCTCACAAGTATCGAGCAATCAAACTGATTATCAACTATACACTAAGTTTCATCATTCTCTATCAGATAGAATCAATGTTATCTTGTCCCAAAGCATCGACCAAGGAAATTGCTTATCTCTGCTTAGCTTTAGCTCGATATGTTAATCATTGAACTCATTCAAGACGAACATCTACATTAAGTTTAAACATTCTACCCCAGTTAGAAGCAGAGTTGTTATGTTCCAAAGTCATGATCAATCAAAATGCTTATTGCTCCTTACCCTAAGCAAACAATTCTCATCATCAAACTTAGTCAAGGTATTGATGTAATGAAACTATATACCAAGTTTCATCACCCTCACTTAATTAGAACTAAAGTTATCGTGTCCCAAATCATCAACTAATCAAATTGCTTATCTATACTTACCATAAGCAGAAAATGCTCATCTTCTAACTCCATCAAGGCATTAACCTCGCAAACACCTACACCAAGTTTGAACATTCTAGCTCAATTAGAAGGAGAGTTATTGTGTCCCAAAAAGTGTGACGGACAGACAGACGGACAGACAGATAGACGGACCAACCCATTTTAATAGTCCCCTGCTTTTCGTCACACATCATGTAGGTAACGAATTTCTATATTAAACAGAGCATCATTTAGAGAACTTAAATAACCTCTACACAGTATTACACTAACGTGTACACGGGACCTCGGTTTTTTGTGTCATCCGACTGACGGGGTTTAATTGAGAGGTCAAGGCCCAAAGTACTGCTGTGATTTTGAAACGTATTTGCTGTCTACAATTGTATCTCTAACTATCAGTAAAAGCACATTTTTTACGTGTAAGAGCTAAATAGAAACTATTATTTGCGGCTTGTGTCTATGACTCTGTGCTTGATATACAACTTATTTCAGAAGAACAAATGAGTTATATTGAAGTCATATTAAGTCCGTAGAGAAGTCCAATTTAACACAACGTGACGCAAATACACCGGACTACCTGTTCATCACGGTCATAACACAAGTGCTCAAGTCACTTTTTAATCTCTTTGAGTTATTGGTATCCAGATGAAGCTCAGGGTTATCTGCTGAAAGTCACATTATAATAATAGCCAATCAATTAATATAGTTACTGGACATTAACATCTTGAAAGTTGAAACGTCGAGCTGCAAAGAGCAGAACTATCGGTTCCAGGATGTGGTCACGGTATTACACACCAATATGCAAGTCATGGTGATTCCTCACCACACCATAACAGACCTACGCCCGAATCTGTGATGCTGTCTAACGTTAACGTTAGCGTGACGCTCATTTACACGCCTCCAAACGCGAGCACGCCTCTAAACGCTAGCACGCCTATCGGTGAAATCCAGAGTAAATCTGGACTCATCTGAGAACATTACACGCGCCCATCGATTATTACCCCAATTTATACGCTGCCTACACCATGGGCGCCTGTTTGCCATGTGCTGGCGAGTGTTGATGGGGGCACAGCGCGGTCGTCGCGCATGCAAATGTACTGCATGTAGCCGATTTCTAATCGTTTGGGGTGTAACTCGAATTCCTGTAACTTAGTACAAGTTTACAGAAAGCTGATTGGCCGTTTGTCCTCGATTTCGCAGGACCTGAGTACGAATGTATCGATCCTGGGCTTCTGTAGTGGCTCTGGGACGACCTGAACGAGGTCTATCATCAGCATTGTGTGTTTGTTGGTACCGGTTCCATAGTGACACATTAAGCATGTTGGCTACTGCTCGCTGTGTAGAACCCATTTGAAGCATACCAATAGCACGTAGACGTTTATCATGTTGAAGACATCTCATTGCAAATTAAACGTAACACGCCTAAGCAAAGATACGCTAAACAGTAAAGCAAACATGGATATGATAAACCAGCACGCGGCAGTTTTCATCAAATTGAAGTGTCAAATTTGTCAATGTACCCTTCCCACGTGTTAGGCGCTTTTGCGTGTCGCACATACAGCTCATTGGTTCTGTTGGGGCGATAAGTTCTTCATCTGTGATCATACTCTCAAGTGTCCATAGGTATTTGCATTTCAATATCCCCTACTTTTTTTGAAGAGTAATATTTGCTCAAGCCAGTGATCAACTCGAGATCAAAACTATATAATAGATCACAGTTGCTTAAGTCATTTTTCTCTGCATGTATTGACCTTGCAGTAAACCGCCCCTGTTGAAATAAATAAGGCTTTCCAGGGGCGGATTGTTAATATTATCACATTTTACTGACCTCTACAGACGTCATTTACACACTTTACATTGACAGGACAATGTCCAGACCCACATGATTCGCCTGTAATAACAAAGACAATCCTGTTAGAAACAGTCTGATTAACTTTCCTGTCCTGGATCAGAAACTATGTTTATTATCATGACTGAAATTTTCAATACATTCATTTTTCATTATCTCGTTTTAAACTATTATAGCGAGAACTTTCGGGTCTTTATCTAAATCTTACATACTGCGTCTTTAATATATCAAGCAGATCTAGCATACCTCGTTTAACCAAATAACGTACATGGTGGTATGTATGGAATGCAGTAATTCCAACAATATCTGAAAAAATAAGTAAAACATAGTTTGTCAGTCAACAGAATAATCAGTGTAGAACAATTTTCACACTGTGTAGACCACTATTTTGATCATGGTGCCTACATTGTTAACAAAATTTGTGGAAGATGCAGCTGGCCTATAATTTATTTTCGACATAACACATAATTGATGTTGTCTCGAGACCTAGATAAATACTATAATATACACTGTAATATATACTGACAGGATACTATATGCTTACAGGATACTATTATACTGTTAGCGAAAAGATGCCTACAGCTACTGCTTGACAAGGTTAACGAATGGTGCGTGCGATGGAAAGTCCTTATCAACACATCAGAATCCAAATGCATTCACTTCTCGGGTTATTTTCTTCAGTTCTTCTTTCCCCACCATAACCTCGGTCTCTTGCTTTATCTTACACATAAATATGCACGTTGGGGATGGCGCTGGAATATTATCTATATACAGGTATTACAACCAAGTATAGCCTATATATAATTACAGACTATAAGTTTAACACAATGACAAAATAGTATGGCGATTACACGACATCCCTTTACAGACACTGACTATAGCGTTACTAAGGGATTGGTGTTTATGTGTTGTCACTGCTTCCATATGATAAAATATATAATATAATAATCGATGATGTTTTTAATACAAATTTTGTTAGATAGTTAAAATATGCTTGGGAAGACAGATGGTAAAATACTAGACTGAAGACTAAGATTTTTTACTAACCGCCTGTTTTACAGGTAAATATACCACAAGTACCACCATTCATATCACACAGCGTGTTATTGCATACCCGGTCTGTAAAATATTAATTGATAAGTATTATAGTATATCAATTCTTATTGATAAAATAATGTCCAATTATGATTAAATAACACACGTTAATTAAAAAGTCTATGACCATTTTGTATTTGTCAAAGAAGTATTTCATTAGGAGTACAATGTGTTTCTGTCGATGTGTATGCCGACACTTTGTGTACCACATATGTCGACCAATTTTTTATTATTATGAAAATAGGGATGTGTTATGTGTCCTCGTGCACACCCAGGTTTAACTGTATGCATTTAACAGGTCCCCATACCCGGCGACGACCGGCACTTAACGATTAATTCAGATCAAGCCATATTGGACCACATTGAAGTTGTTGTTTTTACGGACTGGCATAGCCGGGAAAACGTGTGTGAAAGCGACGGTTGGATTTTCAGACTTTTCTCCCAAAGGTCGCGTTTCCATGGACCGTAGACGATTGGTTGGTTGATAACTCTGGTACCAAACGTCTCAAGGTCTCCAATAACCATATCTTATTTAAAAGAAATCCGTCAATAACTTTGGTCTCTGTCGCGATAACGAGCAATTATTGGATATTCTTATGACTACAACTTACCTTCATTGGTTATTTCTTCCTGTTTTGATATTTTCTTTGTATTATTTTCATCCATTCTGCCCGCTTTGGATCGTAATCCATCAACATTCGTACTGGACAATGGCTTGGGGCCTGAATATTCTTTTTCCTTTGGTCTCAGGTCATTTTTTATTGTGTTATTTGTAGGAGTTGTTGGTCTAACCTCTTTATAAATTATAAAAAGATACAATTTTATAATGATCTAGCATGTAGTCCAGGTATATAAAAGTAAAAGAGTCACAATGATCTAGCATGTAGTCCAGGTATATCAAAGTAAAAGAGTCACAATGATCTAGCATGTAGTCCAGGTATATCAAAGTAAAAGAGTCACAATGATCTAGCATGGAGTCCAGGTATATCAAAGTAAAAGAGTCACAATGATCTAGCATGTAATCCAGTATATCAAAGTAAAAGAGTCATAAAGATCTGTCATTTAGTCCAGTATATCAAAGTAAACGAGTCATAATGATCTATCATTTAGTCCAGTATATCAAAGTAAAAGAGTCATATTGATCTAACGTTTATGCATGTTTATCAAAGTAAAAGTTTCATACTGGTTCATTATGTCATCCTAGGTGTAGAGTGGTTGTATAGTTATCTTGGTTGTAAACCCATCTTTGTTAGAACGTTCTGTTTCTTAAAGATATGTCACTCAAATTATTTCATTATAAACGAAATTATAGCCGTTTGCAGAATAGTGTAGCCTTGCTTGTCATTGCTACCGTTGATAAGATAATAAACAAAGTCTCAATAATCTACAGTCGTGTATGAATCGGTTGAAAATCACAAAAATCCGATGATCTAGAGAATTTATTATGGGCTTGGCATTTGAATACATGTCTAATTAATGATTTATATAAGGCCATGAGAACGACCCGTAATAGGCAGATTTAACTCTTTCATAATGTATCTTTAATAAATCTGTGTTGATTATAACAATCAATGTTAGTTTATTTATAACGTTACCATGGTTATAAGACTGTCTTAACTATACACGTAGCTATGGCAGGTTTAAAACTATAATGGTTATACAGTCATCTCTAACAATATTAGGGCCTCGGCGTAATACATGTTCCAAATTCATGAACAAGTACACCAACGGGCATGATATATCATTTGATAAACACGTATATCATGCGTCTTCTTTATTGTCAAAATATATATAAATTAGAACGGTTTGTGTATTTTTATTTGAAACGCAATTGATTCTTTATCAATATTATGAGAATAACAGGTCACGAGGGCTAGAGTCAAGGTTAATTTGTTATTGTATAAAATACACGTGAGAGGAAAACTACCGTGACGCCATTAGGCGCAAGTAACCAATCACATAATTAATTGCATAAATTTGGCCAATTGAATAATGAATAGCAAAAGTCTAGGCGTATAGAAAGCCCAAGAGCTGGGTTATAGAAATTAGACACCGTGTAGATTCTTTAAGAGATCGGACAAGCATTGGGTTCTTTAGAAGACACCAGAAGATCATGTGGATTCGCAGGAGAGCCATGATGTAGTGGGTTCGTCAGTAACTCGCTCTGTTTACTTATAAAAACATGGTAATGCACGGACTTTTTCTATTTTTCCTTCATGTTCTCTATCTAGTGAGTCAATTTTTTTATGAAATGTCAGATATACTTCAACAGTCGCACACAACAACTTTTGGTCTTCGAAAGAATTATTAGTAAGCAGAAATTCGCCTATGTACCTGTATCTGTTATCACTCGTCACTTCAGTCAGTAATATAGATGGATCGTTTTGTCCTTTTGCGTTCGTCACTTCCGATTGTTGAACGATTGATTACGCATCTATCGTAGCAATGATCTCTGTGATAAAATAATATTTGGAACGTGTTTAACCAGTTATATCATATATGTGATAATGACTGGCACCAATACTGTCCTTTAAAAAAAACTAGGTTTATTTCCAATGGGGCCCTTTAGCTGCTGTCAAATCAGTCTTATTAAAACAGAAATCCTATTTCATTTCGTTTTTTTATAATACAACATTTCGAAGTAATTGACTTTACTACACTAGGATCCGGAAGAGTTGTTATCATTGACGTGTTCTGGGTGATGTTGAGGATTAGCCAACGAAAGGGTCTGTTACGGAGAGCTTTTGGCGTGTGGTGCATGGAACTGTGGGTAATCTAGAAAGATCAATGCTGATTAGTTAATCAAATGTCTGACGTCGTAGGGTCAAAAGCCGCTCGTATGACCTCTGGCGCGACCTCCTAAAACAAATGGTCAGATCTTCATGTAGTGTAGGACATGGAAAGTATATAAAAACGAAACGAAATATAGATCTGTATTTTAATCAGATTGCTGTCAAATATACGTACACAACAATAGAGTTTAAAGTGACGCCCTAGCCACTAGAGAATTACAATAATAAACGCCAGAGACAAATCTATATGGTCACAGGGGAAACAAAAGATTTGTACCAGAGAATATATTAAACGTCGGATGTGGTAAACGACTTGGTGGCACCACGTTTTATGTTCGACCGACGACGTATAGTGCTACAGATCTTTATATAACGTTTTCTATATCTAAGACTACAAACCCAACTACCAGTTCGTAACTATAAATTCAACTTACGTCTAGGGTGGGAAACACAGTAAGGTTCTTTACATGATCGATCTTTTGTAAAATAAAAAAATAAAAATCATATTATAATGATAAAACTATTTTACTGATGTGTGTGAAGTGCATCAAACATTATGTGCGTACTGCTCGTTTTGCACGTAGAATAATTGTGATCATTCGAGTATTTGCCATTTGAGATGCAACACCCAGACACGTGGGGTCAATATTGCGGCTACAGAAATAATTAAATACACAGGGGCAGATCCAGGGGTGGGGGGGGGTCAGGGCAGCTACATACTTTTTTTTTTGTAAATCAAAACTTTTTATGAGAAGTTTTTCTACCGTGTGCTTTATCCTTTATCGTCAGATGTGGGACAGGATGGGCACTCAAAGCGCGAGATAATGATATAGACATTATGTGATATCACAATTGATGCTTTGCACCCATGAAATTGAATCACAATATCATTGTATTAAATCATAGTAAAAATTGATGTCAAACGAGATGTTGAATTTCCCTGTTTAAAAAGCTCGATGTGTGTGTGTATATACGCCATAATGACGATAGAGGCAATGCGTGGGGGGGTGGGGGTGGGGGTGGAGCGAGATACATTGTCTCAGGAACCTGGCAAACCCCCTCCTGCAAACATTCCTGGATCCGCCCCTGATACAAAAAAGTTAACGCCCTAAACAATTGGCATATTTGTTTTCAATAGTATCACAAACATAGCGATTGTACGGCGTACACAAACAGGCAGGCCACGCCCACATCCAGTTTATGCCTTGTCAACCACACTATCCACATCCGGCTAGCAACTACCAATTACCTCCTGCCAGACTTATTGACTTTTTCCACTATCAGCTTACTGAAATATTATTGCTGCACAATTATTATGTCTGATGAGGTACATATTCTTTTACTAATTAGATAAAATAATTCAACCACGATGTACTTTTGATAACAAATCTACCAACACCAACCTATTCTATCATAACATCAATGGACATAACTACTTATCTCCCTTGGTCATCTTAAATAACAACAGGATGGTGAATATTTTGAAGTGAAAACATACATATTTGATGGAGAGAACAACAGTTTTATTGCTACTTTGGATATATTTTCGAACGATAATACTAGGAGGCTTTATAATACTAGAAATTATTTGTTGTTTCTACCTTGTTGTGCAAAACATTTCACGAAATTAGAAAAAAAAATTGGTTGGGGATGGCAGATTCGTTATTTGTTTGGGTTAAGGCAGTTTTTCATATTTTTAGAGCAAAATTACACCGTGGTTTACTTATTTCATCTAATTAGTAACTTAATATGTACCTGATCAGACATAATAATTGGGTAATCATAATAGTTGAAATATTGCTAGCCTGATGTGGGCACTGTAGACCCGAGGCTCAGTCCGGGGGGATGGGTCCATCTAATGCGGACAAAAGCAGACCCGACTATTATATAGTAAAGTTTTGTGTAAAATACGATGCCGAGTGGTAATCAGTCCACAGTTGGGTCGTTTTCGTGATATTCGGGGTCAAATAAGGTCATTTGCGATGAAAGTGAATGGTCAATCCCAGACTTACAAACAAATCAAAATACGTGTTATAGTTCATTTAACGACTACTTACCATAACAAACTCCCTCGAAACACCTCTCATAACTTGAACAGTTAGTATTTCCACATATTATTCCTAGTAATATTGCAAAGAAACATAATAATAATAAACAATTTGTATAGCACTGGGTGTTCCAGCTAATAGGTGCGCTTTACAAATAAAATACATGTAAATTAAAAAAAATGGTTTTAAAACATTGAAAAAAATTAAAAGTGTCCACATGTTCAAAGTTTAAAAACACGTTTAAAATGTTCAGTTTTAAGATTCTTTTTAAAAACAGCAAAATTATTAGATTGTTTTTACATGATCGGATAATTTATTCCACGTGTTAGCTGACAGTAGAGGCGTACACTAAGGCCAATCATAATAAACCTATGGAATTTCATGGAAAGTTTTTCTCCTTTATCCCTTTTATTGTATTAGACAATAATCTTGTTAAAATATTGTGATATATTTATTATTTATTTACTTATAGTCATATCGTTTATATTCAGTCTGTGAAGAGGTACCGGTTCGCTCCCATTGTTAGCCGAAAATGTTATTCTGAATTTTTCGACGTGATCCCCCTACCAATGACGTAGAAGGGAGGGCTGACAAGGAAAATGTCTATTTGACCGTTGGTATTCCAATTAGCACCTCTGGCCGGGCATAATTCCCCCCATAGCACACTGTATGTCGTATGTCCGTCTTCATTAGTCCATTGGTTAAGACCCCATTTCATTGGATAAAAATGAAAGACATATACCTGGACCATTGCACATACTCAGTTGGCAGTCTTTTCCATCTTCACAATCCACAATACCACATCTAGTTCCTGAAATATTATTTAACATGGCTTTAATACAAGTTAGCCTTTCCACTGGGTTAACATAAAATAATTCGAGAGGAAGAAAATTAGAATACCATTCTGTCATGGCTTTAATACAGGATTGGTCAGCAGTAGTTGTGAATACATGGTGATATGGACGCCGATCTTATGTCTTGCTCATCAGATAAAGATGTGCTGAAATGAATATTACGCCCAAGGTTCATTACATCTAGACTTTCGATATTTAGAGTTACCTACCTTGACAATGATTATCATTACACGAGACACCTTCCGCACAAAGCTCTAGTCCACACTGTAGTCCTGTAATAAACAAGAACAAATAAATTGGTTTAGAATTGCCAGTTCTACCCTGGACATCTCAAATAAGACTACTTCCAACAGCTGACCATCTACAATCTCAGTTATTCAGACTATAATATATATGAAGCCGTACTCGCTCAGTGTGTAAGGCGCTGGCTCACTAATCAGGAGTCCCCAGGGTTTGCCGAGAACATTACCCGTAGTTGGAATCCAATAGCACACAGCACGATGTATGTTCGTCGTCCTCAGCCCATTCGGTCGACATTGAAAACATGAATTATTTGTCAATTGCAATTAACATTATGTTGTGATCTTACCGGCAAACGATGTGCTTCTGATATCCAGTATGTAATACAAAATAACGTTTTACCATTGGTACATGAACCATGTACCATAATGCGTTTCAGCGCCATTTGTAACACGAGACTCGAAGAACGAGGCTAGACATATTCCACAAGTTATGTCAAACGGTGAAGCCATATTTTTATCTTGAGAGCATGCGTGATAAATACTATCGGTGTAGACTGAAATTGCCAGACGCTGGAGATTTCCATTCGATTGAGAGTTCTGGAGAATTTCGCCGAACATAACTGATTTGAAATTAAGAGTAAAAACGGACACGATTGAATGTAAATCAGTTTATATACATTCATATTGTAGTATTATATGCGTTGCGACCCATTTGTGTCAAATTCTACGTCCCAAATATTAGCAGTTCAGCTCCTTTAAACGATTATATAAGATTTTATTTGGACTCGGGTGTAATATATGTCAATAGTGTTGATGATCGAGACCACTTATTCAAATGTATCGTTCGCGGGAGTCAATGTGGCTTAGTGGGTCATACTGCACGCAGCGATCGATCTACGTCATACTTCGAGAATAAGATCACTACCCTAAATACCCGCTATTTAAAACGCTCACGTGATCATTTTGGGGCGGGACTTATCGACTGGACTACTTTATAGTATACAAACCAGAGTAAAAATAACCCGAAGCACGTGTTTTATGTAAAAATGGGGCAATTATTTCAAGATGGGGCAATTATATAATATGTGCTAGTGGGTAATATTGCAATACAGTCTTTAAAATTGTAAACTGTCTTTAGAGTTTAAATCTGTTTATCTTTCAAAAAAAGGTTAGATACTCTTAAATTTGTCTTCGCAAACAAAACTTTCTCTGTGAATTATCTTTCATGGGCGCCGCCATATTGAGTAATCAGAGAACTATTTTGTGATTCGGCTCTGATTAGTTTGACATCTTTCATACACACAACGGCTAAATAAACATATTTAATTTCATTCAATATGACAATAGAAGATAAATAAATACTTCTAAAAATTTCTAAAAGCATACTCAGTGTTTTCGACTAAAATGGTCATAGTAGGAATTAAAATGTTTAATTAGCTAAGGAAATGTTCTCAGACGGAGCTAGCTGTAGACAGGCAGCCTAAGTTTGGGATGTAAGTGGGTAATTAAGACGCTGGCTCGCTAGTCAGGAAGTCGGGTGTTGGATCACTGCATTGACCGAGAAGGTTCAGCGGGATTTTCCGACATGGTTTCTCCCTGTCAGTGGTGCAAGACGGAGGGCCAGTTGTCTAGTCGTTCGGATCCCTTGGCAGTTGGTATTCGATATAAGAGTAGGCCATAGTGCCGCTGCCCGGGCAAAATTTCCCCCAAAGTACACAGTATGCCATATTCCTGTCTTCATTAGGCCAGTCTGCGCAAAACATTAGGACGTTAAACCCCATTTCATTTCATTTGTCGCACCACACGAGTGAGACGTGATCCTGCTTTCCCCCAGCTGTTTCACTTTCACCCGTCATTAGCACGGTTCGATAAAAAAATTTACGACATTAACCCCCTTGCATTCATTCGTTCACATTACCTGCTTTGACACATTCTTCTACTGCACAGATCTTACCAACTTTACAGCTAGATGTAGAACAAACGTCTCTTGTCACTTAACAAATATAAAAATACAAATATAAACGTCACTCAAATCAATTTGGTCCAAGAAGATTAAAATGAAAGGGGAAAATCCAATAAAATTCCTTTGGAGTTTACCAAATAAAGATCGAGAGAGAGAGCGAGAGATAGAGAGAGAGAGAGAGAAATGGGGTTTAACGTCCACTCAACACAAACTAGGTGATTTCGGGACTAACATATGGTTTAATTTGATTTCAATAATTCGCTTCCGCGTAGGGCTCTTTAGCAGTGGGAGGAAACCGGAGGACCCGGAGAAAACCCACCAGGTTGGACAGGCGACCCTACTCCTTGTCACGTACAACAGGCTATTCGAAACCAAGCCAGTCGACTCAATGACAGATTTTATGATACAGCGCGCACGCTAACCATTCAGCCATCCAACCCCCCATAAAGAACTCGAACAAATTAATGAACATCACCCGGATGCCTGCACAAAGTTAAATAATGAGAATAACAACCCTCGCTCGTCTAGTGATGATAAGTAGCGGGGGATTTTCTCCAAAAAATACCTGTGAATACAATAACCACAAAGGTTATACTCCTGGTAATAACCAGTACAACCAGTTTAAATATAGGCATTTTTTAGATCAGGGTCACAGCAAACCACGACGACGCCAAACAATCGACAGGGGTATTATCAACAGAGCAGGAGACGGACACCCAGCGGATCTCATCAAGGGGATTTCCAAGAGAGGAAATACAATACAAACAGAGGAAATTCCAACAATGGGACAGAGCAGATATCAAGACAGGGAATACCAAGGGAGAGACTACGAACACAAGGGATATAAACAACAAGGGAATCAACAGGGGAAATATCAGAGGAAAGAATCTCAACAGAAGAACATTCAACGGAACCTATCTAAAAGGAGAAAATAAATCCTAAAATTATTTCTAATTTCTTCCCATAGTGTTACGGAAATTGAAATTATACTTTTACCAAGGGGATTGAAATTCACACCTACACCCAAAAGCAATATGTGTGTACTCAAATGTGATATTACAAATTTCTATCGAAAATTCCGATTGCGGGAAGAATTCGGGGATTTAAATTATTCTAAAGAGGATTTAGTGCGTAACAAAGGTTGTTATAATCCACGTCGCGGAAAGGATAAAACTTTAAACAAATATATCGATTTTCTAAATGATTTACCTCTACCGGAGAACAAAAAGTAAGAAACAACATTAATAACGACGAATAGTGTTTGAATAGACGATAGATTTATAGGATTAGTACCCCAGGTAATGCAGGGGGATATATAGACCCAAATGAGTCGGTAGCATTAATGGCCAAGCGGGCCAGACTGCGCCCGCTCGTCATTTTTCCTTTTCTACCCCCAAAACTTTATCCTCTCCTTTCGATGAGATTTTTAACTTGGGCATTCCCTGCTAAGACACCATGTCTCAAATTAAACTGGACCAAGCCTAATCCCTACGGATTCCTCCAGTAAGTTTCTTAGGAAACATCTTTGTCTACGATATCACCTTAGGTGGTAGTGGACGTAAAACTCTAGAAACGAACGAACGAACGGTTACGGAAGGACGATTCTACAAACCTGTCAGGAGATCAACTTAGGTCACATTCCTAAGGACAGACCTTATTTACCTGTATTTGGATATTTGGAGACATAAGTTTATGTCAATTCCCATATCCACATTGGAGCTTATTTACTATTAAGCATTAAACCAATAATTGTTATATTAATGGTCTGTTGTGATTTATGTTGATTATTGTTTACCAAAAGAATATATAGTAATATTAACAATCAACAAGAGTCTCGCCTTCATTTAATCCGAATAAATATAGCATAACTTTCTATGGAATATAATTACTGTTTATGTATGAACAACATCTCTAGCGGGATTTGACGATAAGCGTACATAGTGCGCCTTTTGTTTAACCCCCCCCCCCCAATAAAAAAAATTATAAACCAACAAAGAAATAAAAAAAGAAAATGACAATCAAACCTATATCCATATAGAAATATTATGATACAACCCTTGATAGTATCAAAATATATAACGAAATGGCGATCGTGTTACAATCCATTAAATTGTACAACTATCTAATATTCTAAAAAGTTGATAATGGGCTTATCATGTGAATATAAATATTAATTTATAATTTAAATAAATAGAGGCCAAAATAAAGATCTGGAAAAGTCTGACCAAGCCCTCCCATAATGCATCATTGATGGATATTTTAGTTAAAAACCGATTTTTAAAAAAAAGTTAACAAAGCCCCTTCTTCTTTGGTTTTTACTTCCTGTTTTCGTTGATTCGTGTCACTCTTGGCTATAGTTACAGCAACCAACATGAAAACAACCAGAAACCGCATCTTTGATTTCTCGAAGATATCGATATACCGGGTATGATAAGTAAGATTGAAATGTGGAGATCTGAACCTTCGAGCTGTCTGTTATACAAACCAGCTGACAACAGATGTTGTTAATATTATTTGTTTAATGTTATTATATTGAAAATTTTATGACAAGAATTGTAAATAATTTACTTTTGAGTTTTTGTTGTCAATGAGATCGGATTTGTTGGATGTTTTAAATTGTTTTAAGTGTTGCGGGACGGAAGACTTAACAAGAATAGATGTATAGTCGTTCGGATGGGACGAAAAACAGGTCCCGTGTATACACTGACGTGCATGTAAAAGATCCCTTGACAGTTCGAATTCAATATAAGAGTAGGCCAAAATGTTGTTGCCCGGGTAAACTTTCCCTAACAGCTCACTGTATGAAAGAATGTTGGTACCAAACTCGATGAATCCGAGCTTAAATTATGACTACCTGAAGTTCTCATACTTTCATTTGATTTCATGACGTATCATTGTCTTCAATTTGGACGCCAAGGTCAGATGGTACCTTGGATTTTTAATCAGTCGACTTGATTACTGACTACAAAAGACGCTTCAACCATCATTTTTGTTATATTAAAAAAACGAAAATGGTTATTTCCCTTCTGGGATTTTATGATGAATAGAGACGATATGGGATAGGATTTGACTACTCGTGTATATACTTAGTATTGCTTCCTTGCAAGGACTGTGTATAGTTTACACACCAATGGCGTCTTTATTTATTAAGTAGTAAATTCATGCATGTGCCAAATCTTATAACCTAAGACAATTAGCCTACACCATATTAAACCAGAATGACCTTAATAATAATTATACACATCTTGTTTTATTCTGAAACAACAATTCTGTAATATATCGCTTCAAACTATGTCAACATGTATACTTGAAGTAAAGAGAGAGAGAGAGAGAGAGAGAGAGAGAGGGGGGGATTTAACGTCCACTTGACACAAACTAAGCCATTTCGGGACTAACACATGGTTCAATTTTATTTCAATAATTTGCTTGCGCGTAGCGGTCTTTAGCAGTGGGAGGAAACCGGAGGACCCGGAGAAAACCCACGACCCTAATCCTTGTCACGTACAACCGGAGAATCGAAACCCCACCAGTTGACTCAATGACAGACTGTATGTTAGACTGCCCACGTGCGAACCATTCGGACATCCAACCCCCCATATAATAATGTAATATGAATGTATATAAACTGATTTCTTTCTCTATAAATTATTTGTGCTTCGATCCCCACGATTACGATTACGACTCGGTTTAAATCGTTCATGCATGTCATCCTATAGCAGAGTAATGGCACCCATTTTACTAAAATGGTTTGGCATCAGTAAGTGTAAAACATTAAGCTACCTGTATTGACTGTTCATACCTCCCGATTTCAAAATACTTTTTGTCAAATTATAAAGACTGTGATCCATGTTAAAGTTTCCTAATTGTCTGAATCACGGTCCGAACTCGAAGATCAAACTCTATGTGTGAAGACAAAACATTTGAATTACAAGTGTTCTTAATTAGGGGGGGGTTGGATGGCTGAATGGTTAGCGTGCGCGCGCTGTATCATAAAGTCTGTCATTGAGTCGACTGGCGTGGTTTCGAATCCCCGGTTGTACGTGGCAAGGAGTAGGGTCGCCTGTCCAACCTCGTGGGTTTTCTCCGGGTCCTCCGGTTTCCTCCCACTGCTAAAGACCCCTACGCGCAAGCGAATTATGTAAATTAAATTAAACCATATGTTAGTCCCGAAATGACCTAGTTTGTGTCGAGTGGACGTTAAACCCCATTTCTCTCTCTCTCTCTCTTAATTAGTCTTACCTTTATGTGATGCCATTATTTTCCGCCGGGTGTGGTCGGACAGACGAGCTGACTCTGCAACAAGTTAGTTAATGTACGTACTCCACGTGGTACAAGACTACACTTAAACCAGCCAACTTAAAACTAACCAACCTTTACAAGTTTCGGGTTTCGCCAGCACACAGAGGAGTATCTAGTTCAACGAAATTCGGTCGCGGCAAATTTCTTTTTAGGGGTTTAGGACATTCGGTCAAAACACGTATTATTTTCGTAAGAATTTTTAGAACGTGTTTCGGGTAGACGGGTAAAGTGAAAACAAAATTTATTGTTTCATCTAGTTGACAAGATAAAGTGCGCGAAATCTAATTAAACACTAGTTTTACTTTCCTTTTAATTGAATACGAAGAATATGAACTAAATTGACGATGGATCAAGACATTTTGTCTGGAGTCACTCTACTTTGCGCCACAGATTTCGGGCATCGATAACTATTTCTGAATGCAGCTGCCGCAGTCTGATTGGATGGTTGGAACTCTGGTCAGCATAGATTGAGATGTCGGTTGCAAACCGATTGGAAACTTTGAAGTTGCTTAATTCACGGCCTAGAATGGCAGAAAAACACATTTGGATCTGCCAAATCTTCTAAATTTACTTGGGGTGCGTGTGGCCCCTTACCCGCAATAATTGCTTGGTTGCCTGTGGTTTGGGATTCAAATAAGTCACTTATGGTAGGCCACATTGAACTTACTATATTTCAGGCTGGAATAGCAGGAAAACGC